CCCCCCCCCCCCTCCCCTGAAACAGCCTCCTGGCAGGAGGAGGAGGACGCTATCAGGTACGCGGGGCTCCTGGAAGCGCAGGACTTTCCTAGCCCGCACATCGAGCCTCTGGACCCGAGGGAGATCAAGGGGTTTGCGGATGAGTCCGGGTACCTGACCACCTTCATCCGGGCCGGGACTCTCTTCTTCCCGCCCGAAGCTGTCAAGGACCCTAGGGAACTGCTGTAAGCAAAGCCACTCCTCCTCCTTGCTCCTTCTCTCGTTCCTCCGATCGCTTCCCCCTCCCTCCCTCCCTCCCTCCTCCGCTCCCCTGCCTTCGTTCCTCCCTCCTCGTTCTCCACCTTTCTTCCAACTAACCTGTGCTCCAGGATGCAGCTCAGTGAGAACGGCAAGGGAGGAGGAGAAGGTGAGGGAGTAGGAGGGAGCGGAGGGGGATGACGGGATGCGCAGGGGCGAAGCAGAAGCAGAAGGAGCGGGACCAGGAGGACGGGATCGATTACGATGCCATGAGGAGCCGGTTGGAGGCGCTCTATGGCAAGGATCACTTATAGTAGGGAGGAGGAGGAAGTAGGAGGAACAGGAGTGTAGAGGAGCCAACTTGGTGCTGAGTGACGAAACGACATGCGAACAAGTATCAAAGTTGTTGTCAACAAGTATGACGTAACGACGAACAAGTGTCAAAGTTGTTGTCAACAAGTATGACGTAACGACGAACAAGTGTCAAAGTTGTTGTCAACAAGTATGAAACTCTTTGCACACGAACTATTTACTGGATAAGATGCGATACCTATGCAAACAACAAACAAGACAAACGGAGATGGTGGAATGACACGCCTTCTTTTCAAATCTTAACACGCCTCTAACGCCCTTCGCTTGTGTCCTCGAACGCTTCTGTGGGAGGTCGGAGCCTCTTGCTGCGAGGTTGTGAGATGAAGGAAGCAGCAGCAGCAGACAGAGCAGGAGCAGGAGCAGGAGCAGGAGCAGGAGCAGGAGCAGGAGCACCACCACGACCACCACCACCATCAGAAAGAGGAGGAGGAGGAGGAGGAGAGCAGCATCTGATACCTCGAGAAGGAAAGCCATTCGTCCTCGTCGTCGCTTCCTCCCACATAAGACACGAGGACCTGATGCTTGTCGTGAGCCAGCAGACGCGCGTCTCCTGCTCGCACCTGGTCGCTCCTGTCTCGCCGCTTCTCGTTCTTGATCCTCTTGATCTTTGCCTGCGTCAGCGTGTTAGGAGCAGCAGCAGGAGCAGGAGCAGGAGCAGGAGCAGGAGCAGCAGCAGCAGCAGCAGCAGGAAGCTAATTTACCTGCCACCATTCGCCGCGCCATTTCACCTCGATGAATTTCCCAAGCTGCACGTAAGAAGTCAAAGTAACCCCGCTCCTGCTCCTGCTCATCCCCCCCCCCCATCCTCCACCTCCTCCTCCTCCTCCTTTTCCTCCTCCTCACTTTGATCCAACTTTTCCTTGGTGTCTGTGACGCATCCTGCAAAAACCAAAATCAGAGATGGAGCATGCAGCAGAAGAGTGGTAGTAGAAGCAGGAGGAGGAGGAAGAGGAGGAGAGGGAGGAGCAGGAGGAGCAGGAAAGGAGCAGGAGAGGGAGGAGCAGGAGACGATTGTCACCTTGTTCTCATCCTGGTCTACGACCTTCGTTCCAGCCTCATTCTTGTTGAGGAAGACGTCGAAGAGAGCGCTGTAGGACAAGAAGACGTCAAGGGGAGGAGGGAGAGAGAGGAGGAGAAAACTGAAGAGAAAGAAAGGGGAGGAACTGGTGGAGCAGGAGCAGGAGCAAGTGCAGCAGGAGGAGCAGGAGGAGCAGGAGGAGGAGCAGGAGGAGCAGGAGGGAGGGGACTCACCTGCGTGGGGAGGAGCTGCCAGAGGAGTCGTTTCCAGTCTTCGAGCGATGAGCGTCTTGTGAACCATCGCTATCACATCAAGTCAGACACAAGGAAAAGGAACAGAACAGAGAAAAAATACAATCACAATCATAATCATAATCATAATCAGAGCAAAAAAGACAATCTACTCTGCTCCTTGCACTCACTTGTCAGCTTTCGACTTGCTCTTCTTCTTCTTCTTCTTCTTCTTCTTCTTGTCGTCGTCTCCTTGCAGAGCGGTGATCATGGCCTCCGCGTGCTGCTTCAGTTCCGCCACCTGCAACCCCAAAACATCACGAGGCCAGAAGAGAGGAGGAGGAGGAGGAGGAGGAGGAGGAGGAGCCAGGGGGAGGAGCCAGGGGGAGGAAGAGGAGATGGAAAGCGCAAGGTACCTCGACTAGAACTGCCAGGCTCTCTTCCAAGGAAGAGAACTCCTCTTCTTTGTATTGGCGCTGTTTCAAGTCATTGGGGTCCGATGGGTCCAGATGCTGAGGGACTTCCGAAGATGTTGAGGAGGAGGAGAAGGAAGAGAAAGACGACGACGACGATGCAGATGAAGACGACGACGGATGGTTGCTGAAATGTTGATCTTTGACATAACCGTGTCCGGTTGCTCCTGCGTTTTGGCTGACAGCTCTTGTAAGGTGTGGACACGACAGGTCAAGAGGTAAGAAATACGTGAAGAGGAGGAGGTCTCCGGCAAGAGCAGGAAACGAGGAGGAAGAGACCTGCTTGCTTGATGAGAAACAAATCGAAAAGAGAGTACAGCAGGGCAAAGGAAAGAGAGGACAACAGAAAAAGAAGCAAGGGGGGGAAGGGGGGGAGTGAAGAAAGATCAGAGGAGAAAACAGTTTACAGCACAAGGGAGTAGAAGAAGGAAGGAGATCTCAACAATGGAGTAGAAGGAGACAGAGATCTTAACACAATGACATACTTGATTAGCATGCAACATCAGTTTGATCTGGTTCAACAGCTCTTGGCTGCGCTGGTTCTGCTGATCATACTGCACCTGACGCACCACCGGGCATCAGACATGCGCAACCCGCGTCGACCTCTCTCACATTTCCACAAGGTCGAGCAGCAGGAGCAAGGTTGCAAGCCTGCAACCAACATCAGTCACAAGTAACATGTGCATAGAAAGTCTTCCTTCACCTCTCCTCCTCTTGCCAACTGATTCGGGCTCCGCTGCAGGGATTGTACCACCGTGTGCTCCTCCCGCAGTCCCAGCATCTGCTTCTTGGGGCTCGAGAAAGCGTCTGCTGAGGGTGCGGAAACGAAGACATGGTGAGAGGAGAGCAGGTAAAGGGAAGTGGGGCAAAGGGGGAAGGAGAGGGGGAGGGGGAAGGAGAGGGAGAGGGAGAGGGAGAGGGAGAGGGAGAGGGAGAGGGAGAGGGAGAGGGAGAGGGAGAGGGAGAGAGGGAGGGAGAGGGAGCATGGAAAGGAACCTGTCAGAGGCGATGCGAACATTTGTTGTTTCTGATCCAACTGCTCTTGCTCAAACTTTCGCTTTTTGTTGTACATCTGGCAGGATGTCAACGGAGAAGACACGGCACGCGCCACTCACGTTGTTGACTTGCTGCAGCAGGTCCGTTTGCTGGAAGTTTCCTTGCAGTGAGGAGAGCTTCTTTAGATGCTGGTGATGTTGGCCGTTACAAGACGGGAGGGGGAGGCAAACTGCGCAAGCAGCAAGTTGTACCTCAAGCTGCTGCTCATAACAGAGTCAGTCCTGCTCGTGTACATGACAAGAGAGACAGAAGTCACCTCGTTGACAAGGAGGTTGATGGAGTTGCTCCCTCCTCCGATCTGTTGCTTCAACAACACCGTCAGATGGACGAGCACAAGACGAAAAGACAGAACAAAAGACAAGAGACAAGTCAAGACAGGAAAACTCGGCTGTCATACAATAGGACCTCGATCAAGTCAAGACAAGACAATGACACAGAACAAAAGGAAACATTTCAATCATTACCATGTTCGAGACGCTTCCAATTGTCTGCAAACCGGAAAGATTTACATTTCCCCCTGCGATGCTATTGTACAACAAGTTTGATCTGTTGTTGCTGCTGCTGCTGTTGCTGCCGCCGCCCATGCTGTTGCTGCTGCCCATGCTGCTGCTCATATTGTTCATGTTGTTGCTGTTCATGTTGCTACTACTTGTAAGGTCGATGGTCTGCCTTTGCATCTATCCACAACCAGACATCACAACCAGACATCACAAGATCGAGACATGTTGAGTTCAACGCACCTGGTGTTGAATCCAGAGGTTATAGATCCCGACCGCATTGTACATCTCAGCAAGAGACAGCTCCTTCTCCTGCTTATCTCCTCTCATCCCGACCAACATCATAAGGCATCAAAGGAGTACCTTGCCCTCCACGCTCCCGAGCAGACACTTCTGCCGAGCGATCTGAAACGCAGAGCATCCGCACGTGAGCAAGAAGACAGCAAGTGACAACGAGCATTACACGTGGGGAATGAGATTACAAGTGACAACCAAGAAGACAGCAAGCATGGAACTCTCAAGACTTTACCATGTAGAGCTTGTAATGGCTATCGACTTGACTAGATGTTCGAGTGCCAATGAGCAGAGCAACGGTTGCAAGCTCAAGCTGAACCAACGGAACGTCAACAAGTGTAGGAGAAGGAAGAAATTTAGCTGTCACCTTGAACCCAGACTTCATCGCCGCCAAGAACTTCATGTGCTCCGTCTCGCTCCAGAAGTCAAAGTCCTTCACGAAACTCGGTAGCGGCTGAGAATTCTGCACATGCATCAGTACTAAATGCATTCACCCTCCCGTAGGCAGTCGGACCTGGCCCAGCATGTTCAGCTGCTGTCCTCCGCTCTGTAGCATCGCGTTGCCCTGCATCGTCGCACCATTGTTTGCTTGCATCAGTCTCAAAAGATCCTGATGACTCGTGGCCTTGCCGTCGATATTGGCCGAGCCTGTAACGTCGCGTGACTACAACGGAAGACAGAAGGGCTAGAAGGGCGAGAAGGGCGAGAAGGAGGAGGAGGAGGAGGAGGAAAGGGACCTGGAAAGGTGGCCAACATTTCGGTCAAGTAGCCTCGCAGAAAGTTTCTGCTTTCTTCATAAGATTGATCAGAACTTGCCGAGTGATTAAAACTGGCTGAGAATGTGGAAAAAAAAAAATTGAATCTAATCGCGTGAAGGAAAAGGTATGCTCTACGCTTGCTTGAAGGGACGATACTGCATGAGGGGGGGAGAAGGTGAAAGAAGAAAAGAATCAATGCAAAACGAAAAAGAATGGGAAATCGTTGCTGGAGTACTTTGGTAAGCAGAAACAGCAAACATGCAAAAACGTTCAGGTACAGCCAATGAGAGGGGGAACATACAAGAAAGATGACTTGGGTGTGAGAATACACAACCATCAAACAGTGGGAAGACTCTTCTACTGGTTGTCTGCGCGCTGACGCTGTTCGCATTGAGATACAGAAAGTACGTTGCGCAGGACTAAAATAAAACAATTTTCGACCTCTTGGTTCTCGTGCAGATATAGACCATGATAGGGAGCAAAGGCAGCAGATGAAGGGCTCGAACATGAACTATACATCCAAGATGAGGAAGAAAGGGGGTGGGAGGAGAACAGGGACGCCAACAAGCAGCAACAAGATGCGAAAAAGGTTGGTCGGCAGCGGCATGGTGGAGGATTTTTAGTCTTAGAGGTTGCCGAGGGGGGTGGAGGTAATCGGGTAGCTACCGATGAATAGGGTGTGGTACCATTTATTACCCCTTCTTTCTGATTTGTTAAGGATGGGTGATGAAGAAGAAGCCAATATGAATGGTATGCCAATTTCAATTATACTCATATATAGTAAATACATCATCTAGAGCTGGTAGCCTCATCAAAAATGCAGGGGTGACAAATTGCCAGGGTAGGAGGATGTCAACAGGATAGTCACACCACATGGGTAGTCGACTATGGGGGGTGGGTACTAGGAGGTCCCTCAGACGACCTTGCGAAAAGATATACTTTCGCCAATAGATGCCTCCTTTAAAATACACTTTTAGAAGTCTACCCCCCCTACCCGGTCACACTTAAAAGGTCGGGAGGGTCCACCAAGGACCCCCACCTTTCTCTTCCTGCCACCCCTACTAAACACCTTTACGACCGCTACACCTCAGGTCCACGAGTACCCTACCCCTCACACGGAGCGTGAATTGAGCTGAACCAAATCTTGACTAAATATTTTGGTACTATTTGTTGGGATAACTGCGAGTTCTGAGGTGGGCCGGGCTCTAAGGCCCCTCAATCTGAAGATATGAAAATCGCAGCGTTTGGTGCACTAGCTGACAGGGATGGGAACGAATCGTTGCGTTTTCGTGTTAATAGTTCTGACCGTCTCGCTACATCACGCTGACCGTTATTAACTTTTGGCCGTAACCGCAATGGTAGCCCGGCGATAGGGTCCCGGGCCCGTCCTGCGGAATGGTTCCGACCGTGGCGCATCACTGAAAGTCGTAAAGGGATTCGCTGCGGCACGGCCTATGTAAGGGAGGCAGGGAGCCTGGAGGAGTCGAGGAGGCCAAGAGCTAGCAAGAGCGATCATGCCTCAGTAGTAGCCGAGACGCTCAGAAAGAGTGAAGTGAAACCAGACAATAAACCAGAATGACTGCAGGCCTTCCACGACACATGCAGATATGCCTTGCGATCGCTGCTTTGCTCCTAGTACATGGGGTTTCAACAACAGCAGCTTTCATGCTACCTAGCAGTGGCAGGTCGCTTCCTCTGCGTGCATTCCCAAATATGCATGAACAGCGGAGGCATGTTAAAGGGAGATCTGTCTCGATGCAACTCAAGAGCAAAGATTTCCAGACAGTGAGCGTGTGGCGTGATCACCTCCTAGCCATGGCGACATACGGCGCGATGCTTGGGCCTCAACTGGACGGGTACCACAGGTCTGACCTTGCTCTCCGATGATCCTTCAAGTGAATGTGTGGTATGCAGCGCGTTCGGGGTGCTCAAGTACACGAATCCCAAACAAATATCACTCGCCGGCCATTTTCTTTTCGAGACTGATTACTGGGTTCCTGCCATGTTTGCGCTCGCATCTGTCATCCTTGGGATATCTTACCCAATATTGGACATGATTTTCAAGGAAGAAGAGCTTTCAGTTCCAACACCGCCGAAATCTCTGGCATGTAAGTACCGTAACCAAAAACGAATACCACAGAGTGACGTGACATTCTTCCACATGAATTGCAGGCGTGTCATTCTTCTGCTTCCAATATTACTGTAGCGGGCTGCTGTTTCAGCAGGGAGTAGAGGACGTTTCCCTCCATCTGAGCCTTGCCATCTCGGCTGTTGCTTGCTGGTGGATTTTCGACAGGACGAGGACTGGAGCAATCATGTCCATAGTGAGCGTGTCAGCGCATCTGATGTCAGACATGTCAGACTTTTGCTAGGTGACTGGACTCTGCGGGCCATTGGTAGAGGTATTTCTCCTCCAAGTTTGGCCAGCCTGGACTGGACAGACCCTCTACGCATATTCTGCTCCAGACATGTTAGGCATTCCCCTCTGGTCAGATATGCTCATGTTTGAAACAGCATTGTGGGTCATAACGTCGTACGTTTGGCAGGATTGCTTGGGTATACGGTTGCGGCGCTCCTGCTGTCGGTGGATTATCCAGGCTTACATGGAATTACGTTAGTACTCGAACTCTAAACCGCTAGGTATCTTGAACAAAGAGACTTTTGAGTACAAAATCTTGCTGTATAAACCACAACAGAAGACTGTGCAAGCACAAAAAATGAACTCCACTTTACAAGGGCGGTGTGATGGAATTCAGACGCCCACGTGCTATTCGCTTAGTAGATGCCGTTCACAGCCAACTGCCATGGCTCAGTGGTGAAAATCTTGTCGGTCACGTCAGCTCCGTTGAGATGGCGATCACCCTTCCAGTCAGTGATGTGCCAAGAAACAGGATCGCAATCAAGGTCGTCCCACCTACACACACATCAGCACGGATTCTGCTTGGTAGCCGCGAAAGTCATTCGTAACAACAAATCAAGGTAAAGTGCTCATGTTCCACGACACAGAGACCAAACTGAACAATATGGATCCCAAAAGGTCATGGTCCAACACCCGATTGCTTGCATTCAGGCTGGGACAACAGCCCAACGTTTTGAGTACATAGAACTTGCTCGCAGGCACGCTCTGACATCCTTCAAAGATTCTCATTTGACTTTCAGCTATCTACGGCTAATGAAACATATCAAGACAATAGCAAATAGACAATTATCATTTTTTCAACCCCGGTATCCATCAAGTACGCACAGCAGAGGCAACGACAGGATGGGCTTCATGAACTTACTGGTTGAAGTAAACTTCATGGCGCTCGGCCGAGGTGTCAGGACCTCCCTGGTAGATCCAGTCACCATCGTGACCAGACCAGACCCAGGTGTCGCCATCGAAGCCGTTAAGGCCCTGAAGGAGCTTGGAGAAGACCGCGCCGTGAAGGATAGTGAGCATTTCTGCTTGCCTCTTCGCTGTTTCGCACAACCCCACTTCGCTATTGAACTCATCAGGACCCCCCCTGTCCAAGACTCTCATGACCCCTCTGAGTGTCTTAATAGTACCGGTGTATCCAAGGACCCTACCTGCTACTGTTGTCCACTTCGCTCTTAGAGTTTTTTTTATATATATATTGACTACCCCCCCTCCTCTAACCACCCCCAAGGCTTCCGAGAATGTCCCTTCAGATTTTTTTTTTGACTGCTATCCACTAGGGGTTAAATTGATATTGATGGAGGGGGTACTGAGAAGTAAAGTTGCTGGGTAGTGAGTAAAAGAGTAAAAATTATAATATTATAAGAGTACATTTTTCGCATTGAGGCGGGCTCGATCCAACTGAGTGATCCTGAAAAAGTGGGCATGAAAACAAAAGTAAATAAATTCGCTAGGAAAATTTTGCTGTCCTACAACACATTCCCGATTGACCACTCTAGCTGGGCGGACCTGTGATTCACAGGGTTTGACTATTGTCGCGCTCACACAAATAAACAAATTATTTAGAATGTATTGCGCGACTAGGATAACATTCGGACTCGGCGGGACGGGCCGCTCGGGCAAGCGAGCCTTGCCATGCCAAGCGCGGGAGATGGGGCGGGGGACCAGGGGGGCGGAGAAGCATGCTGGCTGTGCGAAGAAGAGGACAGGCTGCTGATGGCGATCAGTACTGGAGGAAGGAGCATGCGACTCTGTCCCATGGTAAGTAACCCACTAATAAGCTTGAAACTTGCATAAATCATTGAAGCTCAGGCAATAGTAGCATAGCGTAGCCTCTGAGCATCGCGGTTGTCTGCTAAGAGGATCTCATGCTGCGAGGTTGAGGTCGTGAGATGAGGAGAGGAGGAAGTCAATGAATGATGAGCTACACTTAGAGTAGCTGAAAAAGAAAGGGCAACCGATGCCACTCACTAGTCCTAGACACATCCTCTGCTAGTCACGTGAATGGCCAACTTGCGAATGGTGTGAACATGCCATGACATTGATTCCTTGTGCATGCAGTGCTATGCTGCGGTGAAACAAGATGAAACAGCAGGAGACGACGGGCTCAAGACGAGTGCTGCAACTGATGTCAGCAACAACCAAGACATGTTCGTCCAGTCGCCTCTTTACAGTTCCAGCGGCCGGCAACGGGCCAGCCATACGAGAAGGAACGTATCGCCGCACATATACACGACTTTCCCGCATGCCAGCAGCGAGTTGAACATTGACAAAGAGAATTGGTACCAGAACAACGTCATCCTGCAGCAAGACCGCAGCAGTCAAAGGAGGCCTCTTGCCGCGCTCACCCTCCATGAAGTGAACCCTGCTATGTGCAGCATGGAGGTTGTGAAGCCTGTCCTGATGCACCAGCAGCATTGCGACAGCTGGAGCATGGCAGCAGAGAGCATCTACAGCACTCAGCTCTCCGCGTGCGCAAAGGAAGAGGAGCTTCACATGGCTCTGCCATCCTACGAAAGGGAGAACCCGCAAGGGTGTGCGGGGGTGGGGGCAGGAAACATCTCGACGGACAGGACGGTTATCATCAGCTGTAACCCCAGCACCTTCGTCTCTCCCTTCCAAGGCAGCGAGGGCGTCAAGACAAACCAGCCCTCACGTGGTGCTCAGAATCAGGGGGAGCCGGCGAAGCTGCGAGAGGGCTGGCTGCTCAAGAAATGCTCGTCGGGAGCTTTCAAGAGGCGCTGGTGTGCGGTAGACCAGAATGAGATCCTGTACAACCGTGGCAAGTCGAACTTGCGGAACATCATCAAGTGCAGGATCGCTCTCATGGAGGTGAAGGACATTTCGATGTCCCGGGAACAGCAGGTTCTCACCATCAACATCGAGACTGAGCGGAGGAGGTTCGTCTTCGGGAGCTCCGACACCCCCACCATCTTCGAGTGGCTCAAGTCGCTGCATGCGGCATGGACGATGAGCCTTGCTCGACGAGGCAAGTGTCCAGCAGCGGGAGAGGGGGTGAAGACTTGGAGCAGGATTCAAGGGGAGCAGAGGAGTTCCCAACACTCGACGGCCTCCACCTACATCATGGCAGGCACCGGGACGCAGGAAGCTGCTGAGGGGAGAGGACAGTCGCTGCTAACCTCCGCTACACAATACTACCCGCTCCCACTCCCTCGTCCATGTCAACCTTTGCTAGCAAGTGAAGGGCCATCGATGTCATTGCAGAGCTCCACGCTCCACAGTGACCAGGTTGCACGTGGCTTTCTTTGCTGATCTCACAGATCGCAGCTGGACTGCTGCTGGGAGTGTCAACCAGGTCAAGAGGTGTGGTGTTGGTCAGTAGGGGGAGCTCAGGTTCGATGTTGCTGCAGCGGATTCCATCGTCACAAGTTGTCAAGGTTTATCTTTAGCTGTCAGCTCAAAAAGGAGAACAGAAAATTTTGGAAGTCGTGAATCAATAAAAGCAGAGTATCCCCGAGGAGAGAGAGAGAGAGAGAGCAAGGTTCCCGCAAAGTTACAGGATAGGCGTCCTGCAGATCCGGTCAGCATCTCCCTCCTCAGCCTGTTTGCCTCACCTTCGTCCTGCTCCTATCCCCGGCATGGAGTGTCCATGGATGTCGCTCTCTTCAGAGTCAGCCCCTCCCTGGGTGTGCCCGCTAGTTCCGATGCACGTCCACATGCCATCCCGGTCGGTCGACAGGTGCTCCATCATGCTCTGCACGTCCCACACTTGGATCGACTGCACCATTGGCACGAAGTCGGAGATGTAGCTGATGTCCTTGTTGGGGATCGCGTCCAGCTGGATGCCAGCCATGAGGTCCACCCAGTAGCGGTTGGTCTGCAGCCCTCCCTGATGCTTCGACACCAGCTCGTAGGCAGCAGATCGGATGTTGTCGATCGTGATCGGGTCCCACGACTTGACCGAGTGCAGCGTCCTCTTGCACGCCTCCAGCGCCTTCTCTGCCAGCTCCGGCTTCGCGGTCACAGTCACCAGGTACCATCCTCCCTTGACGCGCTCGAAGCCCGTAAGATGGAAGTTGGCGTCGTAGGTCAGTCGCTCTCGCTCTCGCACGACGGTGAAGAGACGGCGGTTGAGCACCTCCTGAAGGATCTGCAGCGTCACGCACTGGTACAGGGGGTGGGACCGGTAGTCACGGCCGTCGGGCATCTCAGTCTTGGTCCCGTATCCCAACTTTTCCTTGAGCGGACGCATCAGCATGCTCCTCAGGCTGCCCGACGTCTGCTCCTTGGCCCGTGCCGGGGCGTCGGCGAGCGCCACCTCGCCATCCGCCATCACACCCCAGCGATTCGGAGCCGTTCCAGCGACGTAGGCGACAGCACGAGGGTCGGAGTCGGAGATCTCGAAGAAGAGGTCCTTAGCTGGGGTGGAGGCCAGGGGGATGCTGGGAGACTGTCGAGCCGGCTGCTTGCTCGGAGGGACGGTACCGAGGTACTGAAGGGCGAGCATGTCCATGACCTTGGGGTCGAAGTCACCGGAGATAGAGATCTCTACGTTGTCAGTGGTTAGGAACTGATTGACAGCTTGCTTCACGTCTTCTAGAGTCAGCTTTTCGATGTCTTCGGGAGGGACGCAAGTGAATCTGCCGTCTTGCTTGCACATGCTGCCGAGAAGATACTCCGCCGATGCCGCTTCGAGGTTCTTGCTCACTTGCGCAAACGTCTGCACAAACGATTGTTTCGCTCGCTCGAACGCATCTTCCTCCCACAAGAGCTGCTTTGAGACCAGAGCATGCAGGATCTGCATCACTCCTTCCAGGCCCGTGATCTCGTCCTCGCCCTCCGTCACCTTCGAGGTCGGGAAGATAAAGTCCATCCATATGAGCTCCTCGGAGCAAGAGAACTCGGCCATGATCAGGTGGTCCACACAGAACAATTCGACCTGCTCCCTCTTCAGGCCAAGCATCGCTCCTCCCTCCTGCAGCGTCCTGACTCCCACGTGCATAGACCCCAGCTTCATCCCCAGCTCATCGATGCGGCCAGCAGGGATCGTCAGGCGGAGGTACGCTCGCTGTGACTCAGCATCGTTGGGGTGATAGTTGAGGAAGATGCCGTTGCTGAGCTGGCGGGTGATCACTCCAACCTCGAAGCTCTTGTCAACGTTCTCATCCTTCATCCTGTCGAAGGAGGGAGGGAAGTCGGCGACTCTCTTCGAGATGTACTCGCTGGTGATGAGAGTCTTCGGGACTAGAACATCATCAGAGGCTTCCACGTCCTGCTTCGCTGCCTCCAAGAAAGAGTCCAGGATCTCGTTCTCGCTCACACTGATGTCCTTGGGGGCACAGAGAACTATCGATGATGGGATCGGGGCCCCAGGGCTTCCAAAATTGGCAAGGTGCGAGCAGATGTCTTTTGCCACTTCGTTGACCTCCTCGATGCTCAGCGTCTTGGCCACTAGCTCAGTAGCAAACAGCAGCTGCTCGGGATCCATGAACGTGTGCCCGCAGGACACACTTTCCATCAAGAACTGCAGCTGGTCGGGGTTTGACAACCGATCTCCCTGTGCTGCCAGCTGGGAACTGTCGGAGAGAAGAGCTGAGATGCATCGCTGGAACTCTGACTCAGAGAGACCATGCTCGGCCATGCGCTTGATCTCCCTAACGGCAATGGCGATGGCCTTCTGGTAAGCTAGAGGATTCGCCGTCATGTCCAGAGCACAGACAGCACATCCTTCTCTGGGCGAGTCCAGGTAGCTGAACTCGGCCATGGCAATGGGGTCACCGCGAGCGTAGACGTTGAGCCGAACCTGCATGGCAACAACTACAAGACGTTTGATGAAGGACTCGCGATAGTCTGCCAGCGTCTTCATCTCCGTCACAGGGAACTTGGCGAAGATGTGGATGGAGGCAGCCTGAACGAGCTCGTGCTGATAAATGTGAACAGGAGGGAGTCCATCTTGTCCGAAGCGCTTCTCTCCGCACCACTGATGATTGATGGGAGGGAAGTAAGGGTTCTTGGTCTTGAGACTGATCTCATCCACTCCTTCCGAGGGGAGATACTTGGGAGGGTCTCTGGCCTGAAGGTGGCTGAACATGGACTTGATGTAGTCCTCCGCCTCGAACGGGTTGATGTCTCCGATGACAAACAGGTGAGCATTATTCGGGCGATAGTGAGCTGTGTGGAACGCTTGAATTTGGTCAGTAGTCCAGGATTGGATCTGGTTGATGAGACCGATTGGAAACCTCTTGCTCAACCTGTTCTCAGCATGCAAGGCTGACAGAAGTTGAACCTCTACACGATAATCAATCGTGTTCACCATGGCTGCTTCGGACAGAATGGCAGATCTCTCTTTCTCTACCCGATTGTTATCAAATCTCGCCTCGATCACATCAAGTAACGCATCCAGAGCCTGTGGAAGCATCGGCTTTCCTGTGGTGGGCCGGTAGGTTGGGCAGGCAGCCCAATAGACCGTTTGATGAAAGTCTGTCTGAGCATTCGTCTGCGAGCTTGTGCCAAACAGCCTCTCACGCTTGCGACTCCCCATGTAAGACACGTGCTCGCACATGTGAGCCATCCCCTGCTGCTCCACCGTCTCATCAGCAGAACCAGCCTTGATCTGCAAGTGGCACTCGAACCGTCCTGAAGGAGATCCATTGGGCAAGATGGTGTAGAGAAGACCGTTGTCCAACACCCCTGTGACCATCTTGGGATGATCAGGAAGGGGTGTTCGCGCCATCAGCATGTCCAGGTCTTCTTTGCTGCGAACATTTCCATTCTCCAGGGCTAAAACCAGAGAAGGCATGTCAATCTCTGGGGACATCGCTGCCTTGTCGGCTTCCGTTCTCATTCGCAACGGCATCATTCGACTTCTCGCATGATTCACAGGCAGCCTGAAAGTCTGCCGGGGCTTCATCGCAATCGCCCTCCCATTCTCCGCCTTTCGCAGCGCCAAGTTTGGCAGCTGCTGGTACGCTAGCCGGGGTGATCCGACAGGTTCAACGAAGAGGTTTGACTTGAGAGCGCTATGCCCCTGAACCAAGTGCGCGCTGCTCCGCACAAGAGGTTCAGACTTCCAACATTCGACGACTGTTTGGAGGAGGAGGAGACAGAAAAGTTGGAGGGACACACTCAAGGGCAACTTCCCCGCGCCCAACATGTCTACGGCGTTGTCACTTCCTGGAAACAATATCGTCACAAGACAGAGAGAGTATCCGAAGAGAGTATCCGAAGAGAGTATCCGAAGAGAGTATCCGAAGAGAGCATCGAAACATTGACACAGAGAGAGAGCAAGAGCTCTGAAAGTCACTCAACGCACTCAGCATGCAGATTCAGGGACGCAATTTTACAGCACAAGATCAATCCGAGTCTTACAGGACAGCGAGACAGAAGGAGAGCAAGCAGCAAGTATGCGGATCTAGAATCGTATGAAGGAGAGTGTCCATGGGACTTGACGCGGTGGATGGCCGCAGAGGAGCAGAAGCAAGGAACAATGGGCTGGTAGCGACACGAGTATGGCACATGCACGAGTCAACGAAGTGAGTTGCGAACCATGGAGAGGACGAGAGGGTCACATCCTATGAGAGGGATCGAGTGTTAGGAGGATGGATCAGATAGAGACAACATTTCAAAGACGATCATGGCGAAAATCATGTTGCTTTCTGCACATTGCTTGCCAGTGGCCGCGCTCGGGCCGCAGGAAGCAGGGGGGGTCGTTTGGGTGAGGATAGAGGGGGTGGTCATCACCCCTCTACCTACGCAAACAAGGGGTGGTGAAATTATCATTGGTGGGGTAGGAGAAAGTTCCCAACCACCCGTGTATTACTGAGAAATAATGTGGTGAATACTGGGGTAGGTACCTCAATCGTACTTTTTGACGCCATGGGATGCGATTAGAAGCAGGGGTGGTATAAAAGGGGGCCGAGCAGCACCGGTACTTCAAAGCCTTCAACATCATTCTGGAGTAGGTGGGGTAGCCTTGTGCGTTCTGTAGAATGGGTGGGTAGTTGTTTACCTTTGCAGGGAGGCCAATATATGGAAAAAATCCAAATTTTCGAAGAAATTTTCAAATAACAATATATTATTTCCAACGAAGTCAAATATCAATGGGAAGTGAAGAAGAAATGCCATGGGTCACACCCTCTGCCTCTTACATTAGTCCCTCAATCGAAAAAGCTGTTACCTTGGTGGAATGCTGAGAAGATTCATTCTCTCAAAAAATTAGACCAAACTATCTATATATTTCAAATATTAGAATAAATTTTCAATTTTGAATTCCTCTCCATTGTTTACAGCGCTGGCCGGGCGCGGCACCGTCACAGTGCGCCGCCGCGGCCGGGCAAGGCGACGGTACGGTAGGCCCCTGAGCCGGGCGCCGGCCCGGCGGCCGCGCGGCGCCGCGGCGGACTCTCTCAACCGTGGCAGGCGGGCCCGAGCCGGCCGCCGGCCTGATGGTCCGGACGTCGGGGGGCTCGGAAATCACTGAGTTACTAAGTTATCGGCGGACCGTACCGTTCGGAGTGCGCCGCGGCTGCGGGCCGCATCCCCGCGGCAAGACTTTCAGAGTCAGCGGCCTGCCAGTGTGTGGCACCCCCGCCGGGCCGTGACTCAACTTGCTCGCCTCAGTGGCTCAGGCTGCCGCGGCATGATCCGGGCCTGAGCCTGAGCGCGCCGCCCGGCCCTGAGCCCCGGGGCACTGGCAGTGAGCCTCGGACGGTCACTGCCGCGTTCATCTCGGAGAGGGTGACTCAGTGACGCCGCCGCACGGCCCGGGGGTGCCTCCGCACCGTGGCAGCAGTGACTGGCCGCTCAGTCAGCCGCCGCCGGCCGGTGACCCGGAGGCTTCGGAACCCGGCGTTCAAGTTGAACTTGCGCCGTGTCGGCTTGAACTGAAACTACGGTTTCATTGCTACGGTCACGAATTAGATTATGTTATGGGAGAAACAATAAAGTTCGACACTCTTACAAGAACAACATCACAGTATCCCTTCCCTCCCGACGGCCCACTCAGCACTAGTCAGTCCCTTCACTTCCGACGGTCCAACCGTCCTTCGAGTCCGCTACCCCCCTCGTGCTATCTGGCCCGCATCTGAGACTCGGCAAGCATCCGCATGCCGTTCATCTTCTCCTCGTGAGGAGGGCTGTAGGGAGGTTGAGGAAGTCAGGACGGAGTAGGTCACGACAGGGAGATATCGTATACCTGAAGCTCATCGGCTTCCAAGAGGGTGAGAAGCTATTGTGAGGACCCTGCGGTAGAAAAATAAGAGGAGAGAGGAGGAGGAAGAGGAGGAGAATCAAGGGGAGGAGGAAGAATATTTAGATTCATAGAGAATGAGATCCAAGAGGAGGAGCGGGAGGAGGAGGAGGGGGGGGAGGAGGGGGAGGCCCAGCGAACGGGAGGAGGAGGAGAGGCAATAGCAGGCAGCATGCCCTACCTGATCGCTCAAGGAGAGCTGCGAATTGAGCGACATCGCCACTCCCTCTGCATCCTCCACCGACGACCCCAGCTGGCTCGAGGACGCCTCGTTGGCACCTGCGGCAGCTCAGCTCCAGCTCATGGAGGAGACAATCTTGCCGAGCTCATGCTCCTCGTCGCTGAAGACATCATTGCCGGCCTCCCACACCTGCGGCCTCCGAGTAAGAGCTAAGCTTCCATGCTGCTCCTGCTCCTGCTCCTGCTCCCGCTCCCGCTCCTGCTTACGCTCCTGCAACACCTTTCCTCCTCCTTCTCTGTTTCCTTTCTCGTCTCCTCCTCCTCATTTCTCCGTCTCGCTGACCTGGTATAGGTTGCCTGGACCATCGATGAAGGTCCGAGACAGAGGGAGGTTGTAGTTGTCGAAGGGGAAAAATGAGTGCCTGCTCTTGACGTAAGGAGAGTTTGGAAGGAGGAGACAAAAGAACTTCGAAAGAAGAGGGAGAGCAGGGAGAGCAGGGAGAGCAGGGAGAGCAGGGAGAGCAGGGAGAGCAGGGGCAGGAGCAGCTAGCTCACTCTTGCTCAAACTCCAAGACCCCATTCACCACGATGCTCTGGTTGTATGCCAGGAGGTTGCGCAGCATCTAAAACACCTTGAGTTTCATCGAAGAGGACAAGGGCAGGGCACACCTCAGCTTGCAAGAGTTTGTATTTTACACAGATCCGCACAAACTGCTTCGACACGTTCTGGTTGATGACCTGTTGAGGTAGGGTGAGCTGAGTGAGGACAGAAGGGAGAGAGCAAAGGGAAAGAGAGGGGAAAGATACGGTGAGGAAAAGGAGGAAAGTAGAGGGCGGAGAGGAGGAAAAGGTATGGAGGAGAGAGGGAGGAGAGAGGGAGGAGAGAGGGAGGGGAGGAGGAAGGAGAGTTTACCTTCAGGGGATTCAAGGAACACCTTGTTATCACGTCCAGTTGCAGTTCGAATCGCAAGAAAGTATCGTAGTTCCGCTCATCCGCCACAAGCTGCGGCACGCGGAAGCAGAGGACGTAGAGGAGAGCCTAGGGAGCAACTTGTGAGCAGGAGGAGACGCGGGAAGGGGGGGGGGGGGGATAACAGCTCGTGGGATCATGGGATCAACCTGCACAAGACCGTAGAACAAGCTGTGCTGGTACGGGTCCGGCTCATGTACAGTAGGGGAGACCTCGTCGATATACTCGAGGATCCACTTGGTGAGAAGCGAGAGAGATTTCTGCACCATAGGCAGCTTGACGAACCTGCGAATTGTCAGGGGAGGAGGAGGCAACCGCAGAATCTGTCACCTCGCTCGAGCCAGAAAGCTTCCAAGGTACGAGCCAGCAGCATGCCGCTCGTTGTCCGGGTTGCTCCTCTCGACTACCTTGGTCATGAGGTACTGGAGGAACTCCCGGGAATAACGCTCGCGGAAGTGGCAGGAGTAGAAGCAGAGGAACTGGACGTACTTGGAGCGGAAGGTAGTGAGGACGCGGGAGTCAAAGATGCGCAACAGGACGCTGAAGACCTGATCCCGGTCATGTCCTGCCCGCTTGCCCAGGTTCTTGTGGAAGAAACGAAACATCAGAGTCATCATTGCGTCCAGCTTCTCCACCGCCTTCATATTCTCGCTCCTCTCAGAGGTGCTGGAGTCGTCGATGTCGATGTCGAACAGTCCTTCTGTGCTGTTCGCGTCATGCCCAACGGAGATTGCTTCAGGGTCAATCTCGACGTCCAGCCGAATCAGCCGATCGACCACGTGGTTGAGGATCCCGTCCTGGAGCTGCGGCAGGTACTCGGTCACGTGGAGCATGTTTCCGAGGAAGCAGACAAGCTCGCTGAGATCCTTCCGATGGTGAGGAAACGAGTTGACCAGCAGGTCAAGGTAGCACATAATCCCCGTGGGAAAAGTCTCGAGCACCCTACGAACTACCGTGTGCACGTCTTTGGCCTTCTGGACGTCAGCAGCATCGCTCGAAGGATGTTCGGCTTCCTTGCCCGCGCTATCGATGGCGCTGCTTGCGTCGTTGCCCGTGGGGTTCAGGTTGAACAAGGTGAGCTGCTTGACAAGCTCGAACAAGATCAGAGACAGCAGGTCCGCGTTGGCCGACACTGAGTTCACTGCCAAGGCCTCCAGGTGGGGGGTGAGAGCCCTGTTGGTGCGCCAAGAATGCGCGAAGATGGAGTGGATCAGGGAGGAGTGATGCTTCCTCTGCAGGCAGGATGTGCATCGGATCAGACAGGTCAAGAGGACTGCGAGCTCGGCATCATCCCTCTCCGCGTCGATGACTTCAATCATCTCCCCATATGCAGTGCTGTTCCCTTGAGCCTTCTTGTGTAAGGCACCCACGATGTACTGCTGCAACTGCAGGACAAGAGGTGAGGGGTTCAGATAGCATGGAACACAGTGCAGACCTCAGAAGAGTCTCCACACGTGGCCTTGGTCAACAGGATGCCGAGAGTCATTGTATGTAATCAACTCTTGTGAACCCCTTGCTCAGAGATCATTCATAGCACTTGTAGCATCCATCCTGCAGCAAACACAGACGAGGTCATTCAGAATCAGTACACTGAAGTGCAAGGAAGGAAGGACACTAGACATCTTGTATCCACCTCTGCTTCCATCGAACGCACTTTCAAGTCCGGTATTACTGCTATCATCTACCAGCAAGTCTTCGTCGCAATGTGTTCCTCGTGAGCATCAACTACTTTCATGTTGTTCTTCTATCTCTTTACACTGGGATTTCTCCTCCTCCCTTACCCATGAGCCATTCGCGTGTCTCTCCTCTCCATCCCTACTCTTGTCCTCCCCAACCTCAACAAACTTATCATCCTAGAATTATCCGGCACGTATGGCTCGCCATACTTCATCTATCTCATCTCCATCCGCTTCTATCATCTGAACTTCATCCTGCGTCCCGCTCTTCCCCATCTCCTCGCCTCCCTCCCTCCCTCCTCCTTCCGTTCGTCCCCTTCACGTGCATTCGCGCCATTGCGTGAGCGAGGCGGGCCAGCGGAGATCCAACAGCCTCGCAATTGAGGACTAGTTTTGACCGTCACTCAGTGACTCGGAGATCGGACTCCCAGGGCCGGCCCGGTCCTGCCCGGGCCCGGTGACCAGCCGCTCCGAACCGGCAGCCTCCGAACTGCGGCAAAAACTGAGGGAAAGATAGCCCGTAGTTGTCTTTGAGGTCTTGTTGATGTAAATCAGTGAACTTGTCATTTCATTAACGGATTACAGTTTAACATTTCAACTTACAACATCATGGCAACACTGATAATAAGCAGTCCGATCACCGCAGGCTGAGCCGCAGCTGCTCAGTGCTGCATTGCCACCACCACCACCTCTTCCATCGCCTCCTTCTCCACTAACTCCTTCTCCTCTTCTTCCAGGTTATGATTCACTGGCGCAACCTTCTGTCTGCTTCCTGTTCCGACTCTCCTATCACGTCACATGCCCGTCGCCTCGCAGCCGTTGCCGGTAGTTCTCCTTCCCTTCTGCCAGCAGCTCCTCCATCGACATGCGCACTCGCTGCCCCCCTGCCCCCTGCTGCACCTTCCACGCCATCCCCATCCTTTCAGCAGACGTGTGAGCGAAGACGGAGGAGGGGTTGACAGAGACGCGAGCGTCCAGACATCTCACTCCCTCCTGCGCAGCTCTGAGAGCCTGCGGCCTGCGGTCCAGGATGAGGACGGGGAAGTTCGACTTCCTCGAGACGGAAGCGGGGAGGCGAGGGGGGAGAACTGCTTGCTTGCTGTGCTGCTGAGAGGAACCTACCCAGAAGTCAAGTCAAGTCGAGAAGAGAGGACAGGAGAAGGGGGGCGAGAGGACAGAAGGGGAGAGGGGAGGATGAGAGGAGAGGAGAGGAGAGGAGAGGAGGGGAGAGGAGAGGAGGGGAGAGGAGGGGAGGGGAGGAGGAGTGGAGGAGGGAGGGGAGGAGGAGGAGGGGAGGAGGACGGA